CAGTCGCCGCACACACACACCGCAGTCGGCGCACACACACCGGAGTCGCCGAACACACACACACCGCAGTCGCCGCACACACACACCGCAGTCGGCGCACACACACCGCAGTCGCCGCACACTCACACACCGCAGCCGCCGCACACACACACCGCAGTCGGCGCACACACACACCGCAGTCGCCGCACACACACCGCAGTCGCCGCACACACACACCGCAGTCGCCGCACACACACACCGCAGTCGCCGCACACACACACCGCAGTCGCCGCACACACACCGCAGTCGCCGCACACACACACCGCAGTCGCCGCACACACACCGCAGTCGCCGCACACACACACCGCAGTCGCCGCACACACACCGCAGTCGCCGCTCACACACCGCAGTCGCCGCACACACACCGCAGTCGCCGCACACACACCGCAGTCGCCGCACACACACCGCAGTCGCCGCACACACACACCGCAGTCGCCGCACACACACACCGCAGTCGCCGCACACACACCGCAGTCGCCGCACACACACCGCAGTCGCCGCACACACACCGCAGTCGCCGCACACACACCGCAGTCGCCGCACACACACACCGCAGTCGCCGCACACACACCGCAGTCGCCGCACACACACACCGCAGTCGCCGCACACACACACCGCAGTCGCCGCACACACACCGCAGTCGCCGCTCACACACCGCAGTCGCCACACACACACCACAGTCGCCGCACACACACCGCAGTCGCCACACACACACCGCAGTCGCCGCACACACACCTCAGTCGCCGCACACACACACCGCAGTCGCCGCACACACACCGCAGTCGCCGCACACACACCGCAGTCGCCGCACACACACACCGCAGTCGCCGCACACACACCGCAGTCGCCGAACACACACACACCGCAGTCGCCGCACACACACACCGCAGTCGGCGCACACAGACCGCAGTCGCCGAACACACACACACCGCAGTCGCCGCACACACACACCGCAGTCGGCGCACACACACCGCAGTCGCCGAACACACACACACCGCAGTCGCCGCACACACACACACCGCAGCCGCCGCACACACACACCGCAGTCGGCGCACACACACCGCAGTCGCCGCACACACACCGCAGTCGCCGAACACACACACACCGCAGTCGCCGCACACACACACCGCAGTCGGCGCACACACACCGCAGTCGCCGAACACACACACACCGCAGTCGCCGCACACACACACCGCAGTCGCCGCACACACACACCGCAGTCGCCGCACACACACACCGCAGTCGCCGCACACACACCGCAGTCGCCGCACACACACACCGCAGTCGCCGCACACACACCGCAGTCGCCGCAGACACACCACAGTCGCCGCACACACACCGCAGTCGCCGCACACACACCGCAGTCGCCGCACACACACACCGCAGTCGCCGCACACACACCGCAGTCGCCGCACACACACCGCAGTCGCCGCAGACACACCGCAGTCGCCGCACACACACCGCAGTCGCCGCACACACACACCGCAGTCGCCGCACACACACACCGCAGTCGCCGCACACACACCGCAGTCGCCGCACACACACACCGCAGTCGCCGCACACACACCGCAGTCGCCGCACACACACACCGCAGTCGCCCCGCACACACACCGCAGTCGCCACACACACACCGCAGTCGCCGCACACACACCGCAGTCGCCGCACACACACCGCAGCCGCCGCAGACACACCGCAGTCGCCGCACACACACCGCAGTCGCCACACACACCTCAGTCGCCGCACACACACACCGCAGTCGCCACACACACCGCAGTCGCCGCTCACACACCGCAGTCGCCGCACACACACCGCAGTCGCCGCACACACACCGCAGTCGCCGAACACACACACACCGCAGTCGCCGCACACACAAACCGCAGTCGGCGCACACACACCGCAGTCGCCGCACACACACCGCAGTCGCCGCACACACACCGCAGTCGCCGAACACACACACACCGCAGTCGCCGCACACACAAACCGCAGTCGCCGCACACACACCGCAGTCGCCGCACACACACACCGCAGTCGCCGAACACACACACACCGCAGCCGCCGCACACACAAACCGCAGTCGCCGCACACACACCGCAGTCGCCGCACACACACCGCAGTCGCCGAACACACACACACCGCAGTCGCCGCACACACAAACCGCAGTCGGCGCACACACACCGCAGTCGCCGAACACACACACACCGCAGTCGCCGCACACACACACCGCAGCCGCCGCACACACACACCGCAGTCGCCGAACACACACACACCGCAGTCGCCGCACACACACACCGCAGTCGCCGCACACACACACCGCAGTCGCCACACACACCGCAGTCGCCGCTCACACACCGCAGTCGCCGCTCACACACCGCAGTCGCCGCACACACACCGCAGTCGCCGAACACACACACACCGCAGTCGCCGCACACACACACCGCAGTCGCCGCACACACACACCGCAGTCGCCACACACACCGCAGTCGCCGCTCACACACCGCAGTCGCCGCACACACACCGCAGTCGCCGCACACACACCGCAGTCGCCGAACACACACACACCGCAGTCGCCGCACACACAAACCGCAGTCGGCGCACACACACCGCAGTCGCCGAACACACACACACCGCAGTCGCCGCACACACACACCGCAGCCGCCGCACACACACACCGCAGTCGCCGAACACACACACACCGCAGTCGCCGCACACACACACCGCAGTCGCCGCACACACACACCGCAGTCGCCACACACACCGCAGTCGCCGCTCACACACCGCAGTCGCCGCTCACACACCGCAGTCGCCGCACACACACCGCAGTCGCCGCACACACACCGCAGTCGCCGAACACACACACACCGCAGTCGCCGCACACACAAACCGCAGTCGGCGCACACACACCGCAGTCGCCGCACACACACCGCAGTCGCCGCACACACACACACCGCAGTCGCCGCACACACACCGCAGTCGCCGAACACACACACACCGCAGTCGCCGCACACACACACCGCAGTCGCCGCACACACACACCGCAGTCGCCACACACACCGCAGTCGCCGCTCACACACCGCAGTCGCCGCTCACACACCGCAGTCGCCGCACACACACCGCAGTCGCCGCACACACACCGCAGTCGCCGAACACACACACACCGCAGTCGCCGCACACACAAACCGCAGTCGGCGCACACACACCGCAGTCGCCGCACACACACCGCAGTCGCCGCACACACACCGCAGTCGCCGAACACTAGACTTGTAGTCGAGACCGCCTAAACCGAGACCAAGACACTACCAAGACCAGATGGTATCGAGACCAAGACAAGACCAAGACCAAGACCAAGTCGAGACCGAGACCAAGTCGAGACCGGAGGGGAAAAAAAACATTAGTGTTGAAGCTAAGCAATAACTTGTCAAATGTTGTTTTGCATTTGCCTGCCTATCTCTGCTGATTTCGAAGTCTCCAAATGAACCATTCTGCAACTTTTAAATACATAATTATATTTTTAAAAACGAAATTATAGGCTTAAGTACAGGATCCGAAAGTTGGTCGTTTTTGTCGCTATGGTTACACACACACACACACCGTTGGCGGTGCGCTCAAAGTCATCTGTCAGTTGTGCAGTTACCCAAAATCTCCTGAATGAAGGTAAAACCCATCATGTCACTGATATGTGTTTTACTAAATATTAATATATCAAAAACTTTACATGATATGTGTTTTTTAAATCAAGTGATCAAAGTGCTCGTTGCCGCTGCGATCAGTGGCGCGGATACAGTGTTTTCTCGCGTGGCTCGCGCGCACCGCACTGTCTTCACTCGGACGCGCGCTTCAATACGTTGCGGATATCGTCGTGGATATTGTAGTATTGTATTGCTCAATCCCCTGACCACTATGTCGGTCTGAGACAGCGAGACCTAGACAAGACCGAGAGGTCCGAGACCAAGACAAGACCGAGACCAAAGACCGTCAAGGCCGTGACAAGACCGAGACCACGTAAAAGTGGTCTCGAGACCGGTCTCGAGACCAAGACCGGTCTCGAGACATACATCACTACCGAACACACACACACCGCAGTCGCCGCACACACAAACCGCAGTCGCCGCACACACACCGCAGTCGCCGCACACACACCGCAGTCGCCGAACACACACACACCGCAGTCGCCGCACACACAAACCGCAGTCGGCGCACACACACCGCAGTCGCCGAACACACACACACCGCACCGGAACTTCCGGGAGACTTGTCAAACCACGAACGCCATTCATACAGTTCAGCTCACTTAGCACGGCGTTCGTGGTTTGACTAGTCGAGACTGTTTTCCAAAGATGGCTCCTGTCTGTATACACGAAGTGGACTGTCTTTATCTTTATCTTCTTATTAAACGGTCTGTACACTTAAAAAGTTCTCAATGCTTCGGTTTGCATGTAGGGACCCTCATTATGTTACTGTGTTCGTGTGGGGCTATTTTGAGTCTTGTTAGTGGTATAAACTAGCAATTTATTTTTACTTATTATATGCCCCCATTACTAGCGTTATACGCTAAACAGTTTTTAGAGATAAAACTCTTTACATTCGATCATCATGAAAACAAATCTCAGAGAACGGTTGACTAGGTACCAATGTTTTATTAGACCAAAGGTTCATTTTGCGCCGGAGTTCTCCTTTAAGGTGAGGCCTGTTCTTCCCGATGATGTGTTGCGGCTGGGTTGTTATCGCTCTGCGTGACTCTCGATGTCGTAGGCCTAACTGAACAGAGGAATTATGGTATTCTTCTGTATCCTGACGAGTAATAACCCTTGTTCAAGTGAACTCAAAGACAGCCTATTTATAGACTATTTGTGTGTGGCTGTTACTTGTAGCTGTATCTCTGTAAGTCCTTGTAAGTCCTCGTAAGGCATGTGTGTGTGTGTGTGTGTGTGTGTGTGTGTGTGTGTGTGTGTGTGTGTTCTGACCTGCTGTAGGAGCAGGGACTGGTCGTGGCCGCTGCTCATGTGTGTGTCCACCAGAAGGGTGTAGTCGGCCATGAGGGCGTCCAGCAGGAGCAGGCGCAGCGGCAGAAGGTGGAGCACAGCCGAGGCCATCGCACTCATCAGCACAGGAGGACACGGGCGCAGGTACCACACCTCAGCACACTCCTGCAGACCAGAGCAGTGTGTTCAGCGCTCACACACCAACACACACATCTGTGGTACACCAGCACACCATGAGCAGCAGTACACTAGCCAGAGCTGCAACAGACATCGACACTGAACACAACAAATCACAGTACATTTGTGAAGGTAATTCTGACAGCCAGGGCCTTACGATAACACTCGACAAAAAACGCCGTTTGGCGAGTGTATGAAACAGTGTCAGTTTGTCATGTCTGTGTGTGTGTGTGTGTGTGTGTGTCAGACCTGTGTGTGCTGCTCTCGGGCCCACAGGGGGGAGAGGGCGTGGGCGGGCAGTGTGTGTGTGTGTGTGTGTGTGTGTGTGTGTGTGTGTGTGTGTGTCAGACCTGTGTGTGCTGCTCTCGGGCCCACAGGGGGGAGAGGGCGTGGGCGGGCAGTGTGTGTGTGTGTGTGTGTGTGTGTCAGACCTGTGTGTGTGTCAGACCTGTGTGTGCTGCTCTCGGGCCCACAGGGGGGAGAGGGCGTGGGCGGGCAGTGTGTGTGTGTGTGTGTGTGTGTGTGTGTGTGTGTGTGTGTGTCAGACCTGTGTGTGCTGCTCTCGGGCCCACAGGGGGGAGAGGGCGTGGGCGGGCAGTGTGTGTGTGTGTGTGTGTGTGTGTCAGACCTGTGTGTGCTGCTCTCGGGCCCACAGGGGGGAGAGGGCGTGGGCGGGCAGTGTGTGTGTGTGTGTGTGTGTGTGTCAGACCTGTGTGTGCTGCTCTCGGGCCCACAGGGGGGAGAGGGCGTGGGCGGGCAGTGTGTGTGTGTGTGTGTGTGTGTGTCAGACCTGTGTGTGCTGCTCTCGGGCCCACAGGGGGGAGAGGGCGTGGGCGGGCAGTGTGTGTGTGTGTGTGTGTGTGTGTCAGACCTGTGTGTGCTGCTCTCGGGCCCACAGGGGGGAGAGGGCGTGGGCGGGCAGTGTGTGTGTGTGTGTGTGTGTCAGACCTGTGTGTGTGTCAGACCTGTGTGTGCTGCTCTCGGGCCCACAGGGGGGAGAGGGCGTGGGCGGGCAGTGTGTGTGTGTGTGTGTGTGTGTGTGTGTGTGTCAGACCTGTGTGTGTGTCAGACCTGTGTGTGCTGCTCTAGGGGCCCACAGGGGGGAGAGGGCGTGGGCGGGCAGTGTGTGTGTGTGTGTGTGTGTGTGTCAGACCTGTGTGTGCTGCTCTCGGGCCCACAGGGGGGAGAGGGCGTGGGCGGGCAGTGTGTGTGTGTGTGTGTGTGTGTGTCAGACCTGTGTGTGCTGCTCTCGGGCCCACAGGGGGGAGAGGGCGTGGGCGGGCAGTGTGTGTGTGTGTGTGTGTGTGTGTGTGTGTGTGTGTGTGTGTGTGTGTGTGTGTCAGACCTGTGTGTGTGTCAGACCTGTGTGTGCTGCTCTCGGGCCCACAGGGGGGAGAGGGCGTGGGCGGGCAGTGTGTGTGTGTGTGTGTGTGTGTGTCAGACCTGTGTGTGCTGCTCTCGGGCCCACAGGGGGGAGAGGGCGTGGGCGGGCAGTGTGTGTGTGTGTGTGTGTGTGTGTCAGACCTGTGTGTGCTGCTCTCGGGCCCACAGGGGGGAGAGGGCGTGGGCGGGCAGTGTGTGTGTGTGTGTGTGTCAGACCTGTGTGTGCTGCTCTCGGGCCCACAGGGGGGAGAGGGCGTGGGCGGGCAGTGTGTGTGTGTGTGTGTGTGTGTGTGTGAGAGACCTGTGTGTGCTGCTCTCGGGCCCACAGGGGGGAGAGGGCGTGGGCGGGCAGTGTGTGTGTGTGTGTGTGTGTGTGTCAGACCTGTGTGTGCTGCTCTCGGGCCCACAGGGGGGAGAGGGCGTGGGCGGGCAGTGTGTGTGTGTGTGTGTGTGTGTGTCAGACCTGTGTGTGCTGCTCTCGGGCCCACAGGGGGGAGAGGGCGTGGGCGGGCAGCTTCAGGTGGAGGTGGAGCAGCTCTGGGAGTCGGCTGAGCCGGTCCGGGAGAAACCCGCCGGTCTCGGTGTAGAACAGCATGAGGTCCGCCACCTGAGGACACACAACACTCCTGTGCTTCACAGACACTGGGCTCTCGTTTATACAACTGTGTGGGATCCGCACTGAGAGTGTACGTGCGCAGAGAGCCAAACATGGCGTACACCAAAACATATGTGTGTGTGTGTGTGTTTATAAATCACAGCTCATGCGTGAGAAATGCGTAGGCCTATCAGGGCCTGTTCTGTGCGACGGTTATATATGAGACCCCAGAACACACACACTTCAACTCAATTAGTCTCATCTCTGATGAAGTTTGCATTATTGACTCTGTTATCGTCCTGTTCGTCACTGTGAAACGATCGGTCTCCCAGCAATCTTCCTCAGCTGGTTCAGGTGTGTACGTGACCCCTGACCCCTGACCCACCTGCGTGTCGAAGACGTTGGTGAGGTTGACGTTGAACTGGGCTCTCAGACACCGGGCCACACAGCGGCAGTCGTGCACCACCTGAGGAGGCAGAGGAGTCAGCACACACACACACACACACACACACACGCTTGCTGAGAGCACTACATCAGCTGACCTTCAGAATGTGGGGATTCTCCAGAATCATGGACAGCCCGTTTTTAATCGCTTGTCCTCCAAGCAGGAGTATATCGAACAGGTAGACGACTCTCTTCGTGGCGACCTGCATCAGAACAGTCCTTCATATACACGTACACACACACACACACACACCAACAGAAGACGAGGTGTTCCTGTCACCTGTAGCCAGCACAGCCTCTCCTGCTCAGTCAGCCCGAACACATCCGCACCGAGGCCGATCACTCTCTGCTCTTTAATGTGCATGACCTGAAATACACCATCCTCATCCTCATCCTCCTCATCCTCCTCATCATCCTCATCATCCTCATCATTCTCATCATTCTCATCATCATCATCATCATCATCCTCATCATCATGCATGAGTGGAACAGACTACACAAGAGGGAGATGATGTCTTACTCACTGCAGGCCCAAACTTCTCATGAAGCTCGTCGATCAGCACATAGTTCAGGTCGTGTTCATCCCCATCTGAGGGAACACAGGGAAACACAGAGGCTGAAGGGAAACTCGAGATCCTCATTATTTTGCTATGTGGAAGTATTTTCTGTGAATGTGCGAGACTTGATTCTTAAGCTGTTAAGCACATAACTAGATGAGTAACAGTGCAGGAAACCAATGTTTGCAATAGAGCTTATTCACAGCAGCGCCATCTTTAATCTCGAACGGGAATGAAAGCGAGGCTGTGTGTAGGGCTGTGCCCAGGTGTGTGTGTTTGTTGTGTTTCAGGTGTGTGTTTGTGTTGTTCAGGTGTGTTTGATGTGTTTCAGGTGTGTGTGTTTGTTGTGTTTGATGTGTGTGTGTGTGTTGTTCAGCTGTGTGTGTAAGGCTGTGCCCAGGTCTGTGTGTTTGTTGTTTGTTTGTTGCGTTTCAGGTGTATGTTTGTGTTGTTCAGGTGTTTGTTTGTTGTGTTTCAGGTGTGTATTTGATGTGTGTGTTTGTGTTGTTCAGCTGTGTGTGTAGGGCTGTTCCCAGGTTTGCGAGTTTGTGGTGTTTCAGTTGTATGTTTGTGTTGTTCAGGTGTGTTTGTTGTGTTTCAGGTGTGTGTTTGTTGAGTTTGTGTTGTTCAGGTGCGTGTTTGTGTTTCAGGTATATGATTATTGGTCAGGTGTGTCTTTGTTGTATTTCAGGTGTATGTTTGTTGTTCAGGTGTGTGTTTGTTGTGTTTCAGGTGTGTGTGTGTGTTTGTTGTGTTTCAGGTGTGTGTGTGTGTGTGTGTGTGTGTGTGTGTGTGTGTGTGTGTGTGTGTGTGTGTGTTGTTCAGCTGTGTGTGTAGGGCTGTGCCTAGGTGTGTGTGTTTGTTGTGTTTCAGGTGTGCGTGTTTGTTGTGTTTGTGTTGTTCAACTGTGTGTGTTGCCTTAAAAAGCAAGACAGCATCAGTGAGAAAGCTTCTCCATGTGGTTAACACATACTTCCTACTCCATACTTCTTCTCTGCCCTTCTCAGCCCTACGGCTGTTCCCAGGTGTGTGTATTTGTTGTTTTTCAGGTGTATGTTTGTGTTGTTCAGGTGTGTGTTTGTTTGTGTTTCAGGTGTGCGTTTGTGTTTGTGTTGTTCAGCTGTGTGTGTAGGGCTGTGCCCAGGTGTGTGTTTGTTGTGTTTGATGTGTATGTTTGTGTTGTTCAGGTGTGTATTTGTTAGGGGTGACCCCGAATAGTCGAAGATTCGATGCTTCGATAGGAGGAGCCTGATTCGACTACCAATCTCACGGTCGAATCTTCGCAGATGTGTTATTAAACGAGGATTATGTCATTTTGGCTATATGAGTGTGCTCAATGTCTGATTTCACATAGAACTACTGGTTTTCTGTCAATTCGTTAATATACAGCCTATAATGATAATGCTGTCAATAAAAATGTGCAAAGAAAGAAGCTTTTAATAAATATTTTTTTAACGTGCGTGCAGCGTGAATAAATCCAAACACCCCGTGACAGATTTAAGTTTCACTTTCGATCCGTGACCGACAGAGGAGCGTCGTGTCGGCAGGGATTTAAATCTTTAAAAATGTCTGGGATAAGAAAATCTAAAGATGCACACCATCAGAAAGGATATTCTCCAAGGCTGGATTTAGCATCAGGAAAACCATGATCGCACTTCTGCCGGCCAACGTTAACAGGCTGGTTTTCCTCGGGACGTTCTAAAACGCTTAACGTGAAAAAAGCTTTTAAAACGCTTAAATGGCACTTTTACGTGCTTATGTACACAGTAGGCTACACACCTTAAGAAACCATTCTATGTGCAGATAAGCAGATGAACCCAGAAGATGAACCCAACGCGTTTCTTCATAGAAAGTCACGTAAAGCTTTTTCTTTAACGGTTTTCCATGGGAGGAAAATGCTTAACGTAGCCTATAATAAAACGCGTTGCGTTCATATTCTGGGCTCATCTGCTTTTCTGTAGGCTATATAGTATGCTTTATTAATAAGGTGTGTACAGAATTTGATCTTTTAATATAACAGTTTTAGGACAAAGCCATTATAAGCGTTTTTCACGTTAAGCATTTTAGAATGTATTTTATCCGCGCACACAATTTGAAAAGACTCAAACGGACACAGGCCGAGTGAAAGACTGGATTTTGTTTTTTCGATCAGGTCTGGGTACAAGTGATTTCAAAACATTTCAGCCGGTTCCAATTTGATTTTTGGATACTGTGAGCACGTTTAGCTAAAGACTGCCGCTCCAGTTTTGCGTTTATTGTTGTTTCTGCAGTTAAAAAGACAAAGTTGACAATCCTGGCCATACTTTCGTTATTTTAATAATTTCTTTATTTTTATTTTATTAATTGATCACTCATGGTGATCTAATTTAACTATTTGTGACTTGTGTTTTTAATACTTGTTCCCCTGCAATTTAGGCATTTTGCGCATTTGTTCTGCTTCTTGTGACTTGATTCTGACTTATTTCGTTTTGTATTTTTATTTATTATAAATGTATATTGTGTTCTTAATTGTTGATTATTTTTCAGTGCATCGATGTTGCGCTGTAGGCCTAATAGAGCATGCTCGTACAGGCAATTCAGCCGATTTAATTTGATTTGCATGTGAAATGCAAATCCTATCTGCAGTGTGGCCTTTCTGCAGTTATTTATGTTATTTCTTAGTTTTATTGATCCAAAATGTTTTTATACATTTTCTTCTATATCTTTGTGTGATGTTCTGTACATCGCGGCTTTAAAATGTTAAAGCCCCGCCCCCTCCCCAACACCCACACACATGATTCGACTATTAGTCGACTATAGGCAGGACTTGACGAATCTGATTCGACTATGAAAATCCTTAGTCGGGGACACCCCTAGTATTTGTTATGTTTGATGTGTGTGTTTGTGTTGTTCAGCTGTGTTTGTAGGGCTGTGCCCAGGTGTGTGTGTTTGATGTTTTTGTTTGTGTTGTTCATGTGTGTTTGTTTGTTGTGTTTGATGTGTATGTTTGAGTTGTTCAGGTGTGTATTTGTTATGTTTGATGTGTGTGTTTGTGTTGTTCAGCTGTGTTTGTAGGGCTGTGCCCAGGTGTGTGTGTTTGATGTTTTTGTTTGTGTTGTTCATGTGTGTTTGTTTGTTGTGTTTGATGTGTGTGTTTGTTGTGTTTCAGGTGTTTGTTTGTGTTGTTCGTGTGTGTTTGTTGTGCGTGTTTGTGTTGTTCAGCTGTGTGTGTAGTGTGCGTCAGTGACCACAAGTAAGTTACAATTATATCACTAATAAGTTAATATTAGCAGTTTATGGTCGAGTTTACATTCAGTGACTTTTTCCAGTAATAAACAAACACTGTTTGTTGTAAGTTGTTTTGATTGATACTGTGAAGCAGCTTTGATACAATCTGTATTGTGAAAAGCGCTATATAAATATATTTGACTTGACTTGTTGTATGTGTAGCTTGTATGGCATTCTTATTGTAGTTCACGTTTCAGGACGTTTAACATCGTTTAAGTATCTAGGGAGAGTTATTAGCCTCAAATGTGTTATGTTAGTTAACATCTATGTTTATTTCCTTTCCTTTAGAACCAAACCTACACTGTAAAGTTCATAAGAAATAGGGCCAGTGCATATGTATTTCAAAGTATATATTAAATCCCTGCCTTCCGTGTCCTGACTAGACACCCCATATTAGTGACTAATTTTCGTAACCAGTAGAGCCCCATTACAATTTATGGTCCTTCGAGCCAGATAGTGTCAACGATATGGTAACCAGTAAAGAAGGAATCAGCCTCCCTGTTTCACTTGTGCGCCCCAAATGCTCAGTTCAACGCCCAAGATATCTGAATGATTTTTTAGTCGAATATACAGACCCGCATAGCTTAACGCATAAGCACAGGCACGAAGAGCAGAGGGAGCTGTTCATCAGGCTTTGGAGACAGGGAGGCAACAGAGTGAAACGGCCAAGAAACAGAGCTTTTGGAGCTTTCCCTGCAGCACCATTCCCTCAGACCTCAGCTCAGTGGTCAAGGAGGTCATCGGCATCAGACCCCAGTACGCCAACTTTACCCAGACAGAGGAGGCTAACCACAGCCTTCCCCAGCATTTGCTCCTCACCACCACAGAACTAAGGATCACCCAAGCTTAACTGCAGAATTAACCCACCAGCTAGAACAAATTACACCTCCTCCGCCTCTCAGCAGAGTCACCCAACCCCCTCGGCATACACTCAATCCACGCCATGACGTTCAAGCTATCAAACAGGATACTGAACATCCACCAGCTCACCTTCAGCCCAGCCATCCCAAAGGGTCACCCCAGGGCCTACAGCAGTCCGTAGGCTTGTTAAGAAATGCCTCATCATATAGCTCACTCTCATCCTACCCCATATCAGGTAATTGTAACCCCAACGCAGCTGCACCCGGCAGCCAACACGAGAAAGGTAGGGAGCCTCAGTTGGGAAATCCACATCTGGTGCCACCTGAGCCTCATATCTATCTCCCACATGTGGCTCCTCCCAGATCGCTACATGTAAATCCAGCTCTCGATCAGATGATGCCTCTACCCGTGCACCAGTCAATACATCAGCCTCCTTATGTACCCCAACCTTTCTACCAAGGGAACCCAGCCATGTTGGCCCATTATCCCTCCACCAGCTATCAGCATGCACCCCCCAATATAGAAGGCCTAACATTTCCTGACTTCAACAAAAAGATAGAGCTCAATATGTGGAGTAGGCATAGCTACGCCTTTCCCTTAGCATACTCCATCCTTCTCAGTCTGAGCATTACAAGTATGCCATCTTGCTGAAGCATGTCAAGGTGCCACATGCACATCGCTTTGTGCTAGCTCATGAGAGTCTAATATTCCCTACTCTGAAGCTCTGAAAGGCTCAGAGAGCATCGAGTCGCAGTAAGTGGAGACATTAAAGGGATGTTTCACCAGGTCCGCCTGCTGGATAGAGACAAGCCCTTGCTGAGGTTCCTTTGGAGTCAAGTCAACCAGGGGAAAATGTCCGCCACAGTGCTGAACAGTGTTTTTACGTCAATAACTGCCTGCAGAGTCTACCCACCGTAGTAGAAACCAGTAACCTTGTGACGAGGTTTAGAACCCTTCTAGCTGCAGGTGACTTCGATATTCGCCAGTGGGCCAGTAACCAGCCAGAGGTGATTCGCAACCTACCTAAGGAGGCCAAGTCTGACAGCAGCGAAAGATGGGTTTCTCAGATGCATGGTGAAGCTCAAGAGATGATGCTAGGCCTCAGTTGGCACTTCATTGAGGACACACTCCATTACAGGCATCGCCCGGTTGCCCCAAGCCAGACAACCATGTAAAATATCTATAAGATGCTAGCAAGCCAGTATGATCCCCTGGATCATATCCTGTCCTTCCCTACAAGGGCCAAAGTTTTGGTCCAGAGACTGTGGGCCAAAGACCGCGACTGGGACGACCCAAACTTAACGGTTTACCTCCTGCAAGCCTGGACTACATGGGAAGAAGAGCTCTCTCAGCTCCCAACGGTCAGTCTCTCCCGGAGCTACTTCCCACAGGACACACCATCGAGCTTCACGTCTTTTATGATGCATCAGAGTCCGTCTATGGGTCAGTTGCTTACCTACATGGTGAGGATCCTCATGGCCAAGTCCATGTAGCTTTTGTGCTGGCATGCTCAAGAACGGCACAGAAGAAACAACAGTCAATGCCACGGCTTGAGCTCTGTGCCGCCCTTACCGGAGCTCAGCTTGCCCAGATGATCCAGAGAGTTCACCCTTCAGAAAGAGGGATGCAGTGCTGTGGTCTGAAGCCACCACAGTACTTACCTGGATACAGACAGAGTCCTGCAGATACAAGGTGATTGTAGGGACTCGTGTATCTGAGATTCAGGAGCTGACGGATCACCTGTCATGGAGGTATGTGGACACACAGAATAACCCCGCAGATGCTATCACCAGAGGGATGACACTATCCAACCTAGCCAAGCCAAACCAGTTCAGCCAAGGTCCTGCCTTCCTTCAGCTACCACGTGAGAGTTGTGGTAGCCGAAGGAACTTCTTTTGTGGAGGTCCCAGATGAAATAGAGATGAAGAGGTCTGCGTTCTGTGGCATTATGTCAGCCATTACTGTTCCAGAGATCCCAGCCGCTGAAGACCACTCTACCTTTGGGCCACTCTAGGGGCCTTATCCGAGTAGGTTAGGTTGCACCGTTCTACTAGTCTGGAAGATGTCGTACACCCGATTATGCTAGAACCATAGCACCATATTACCAAACTTATCATACGACAGTTTGACAAGAAGTTACTCCATTCTGGATCGGAGAGGGTCTTTGCAGAGCTCTGGCGCAAGTTTTGGATCCTCCAAGGCCTGCTATTCCTAAGATGGCAGATCGGACCCCTTGTCGTCTCCGCCTCCTGAAGCCTTCATTTTATTCAACAGGAGTAGATTGCTTTGGCACGTTCCAGGTCAAGCGAGGTCGGAGTACGGAAAAGAGATGGGGAATAGTTTAAGTGTATGACCACCAGGTGCATTCACCTAGATGCAGTGTTGTTTTTGGCAGCCCTTTTAGTTTTAGTCTTAGTCTTAGTCTTTTGGACGAAAATGCTTTATTAGTTTTAGTCACATTTTAGTCACTTATAAACTTAATAGTTTTAGTCAAGTTTTAGTCGACGAAAACAAAAAAAGGTTTTAGTCAAGTTTTAGTCTAGTTTTAGTCAAGTTTTAGTCAATTTTAGTAAAAAAAAAATAGTCTTTAAAAAATAGAGAAAATAAAAGTGCAGCTGTGTCAATTTGTATCAAGTTCAAAAATGGAAAAGAAATAAAAGTGCCACTTTGCAATCTGTTACAAAAAGAGAAAAGAATAGAAATCCATTTGGCAAGACAGGTCTATTTATCCCTGCATTAGTGGCTGCAATGAGCCTGTTTTGCATTGCACAATTTCTCAAACGTCATGCTCAATGTTCAGCCGAGATCTGTACTTTGTTTTCAGTGAAGCTGAAAAGCCCATCTCACAGAGATATGATGTGGCAAAGGGAAGAAGAATGCACACAGCTCTCTGCCTTTAGCCTACTTAAAAACGTGATTTTTTTTTTAAATAGATAAAATAGACATAACATACTGTGTTTGATATGGGATTAAAATGATGGGTAGTGTATGGGCAGTGTATAAGATATAAACTAATGATTAATTATTGTAACATTCCTTTGTTCCGATCAGAGCATGTGAGCGGAGAGCGCATTTCTGAATATCCCTCCGCTCGCTCATTCAGCTCAGGGTCGCGCGCTCAACACAGAATGGCCTGCTGGTTCCAGAATATGTGGAATAAGAGCTGCCTCCGACTAAAGTTTTTATTCTAGTCGACTAGTAGTTGTTCATTTAAAACATTAGTGGACAAATCGCCCCTTTGTATTAATTTAATTACTTAAATAGGCTATACAGGATAATGAGCGTTATAGCCGCACTCGAGCGCACGACCGCACGCATAAAGCTTGCCACAAAGAACCGGCAAAAGTAATGATTATAAATGTGTAAAAAAAATAGCAAGGAGACATTTAATTGTTTATTAATAAACTGGAGTGTTCGGTGTCGCAGCAAAGATGAATTTGACGATGCGGACGCCATGAGCGAATAAAGATACAAAAGCATAAAACGGAAAATTTCCTCCCATTTGGAGGAGACCCGTCCCGCCAGTGGGGCGCGCCCCACACTTTGAGAACCGCTGGATTATACTGAAACTGAAAGTATGTCCATAAATCATCTCGTCGTTTCCGACCACCAAGCCCGTTTATTGGCTTCGATCGCTGCCGTGGTCCTTCGAAGATGTGTGGTGAGTGACTAGCCGCAGTTGTGTTGTGTGGAATCTGGTGCGCGCGGCGGCATGGGTAGCCAACCCAAAACAAGGAAGCGGCAGCATTGCTGATACTTTTTTTTTAGCTCAAAACAGACAGATTTCACGCAAAATAGGCAGAAATGACATGCTTGTGATTGTGAACGTCAGACTTGTAATCATTTTCGTTCCGTCTCGTCAACGAAAACTCGAAAACGTCTCGTCATGTTTTAGTCACCTTAGAGCCATTTTTAGCTAGTCATCGTCGCGTTATCGTCATAAAAAAAAGTGCCTCAACGAAATCATTTCGTTATCGTCATCGTTGACGAAAACAACACTGCCTAGATGTGCTGCCCAACATGGATACCGACTCATTCCTTATAACACTCAGAAGGTTCGTGGCTAGACGGGGAACTCCCATCGAGCCTCTCTCTGACTGTGGGACCAACTTCCGCAGAGGGGAGCACGAGCTCAAAGCAAGTTTTGAGGCCAAGTGCGAAAAGCTGCAGACCAAATTGGCTAAGCACCAGATCCTTTTTTCAGTTCAATCCACCAAATGCACCTCACTTTGGTGGAGCCTGGGAGCCAGATCCATTAAGGCTGCACTCTATGTTACTCTGGGAGCACAGACAGTGACCGAAGAAGTCTTGCAGAAAGGTGCATTAGCAATTAAAGAAAAAACACTTCAGCAAAACATGATCAGGTCAAAGTGTCAGAATAATTTTTGGTACCAAATATTTATAAATTTTACTGGGTTTTACTGGGTATAATATGTCACAGTTTACTTTATTTAGCTCTCTTCATTTACATAAATGAACTATAGTGTCCTGCACACACTAGTGAAAAAATATAAAAAATGATATCTGGTGTCTGGATAATGTTTGGTGTGACTGTATGTCTCTACAGTGGCTTGTGCTGTTATTTCATGTGTTTTTGAATTGTTCTGCTGAGGAAACGCTGCAAAATCTGTCCAAGAAATTTCAATAGACAAAAATCTCCAGTGGGAAACTGTCAGTGATCTGGGAGCGGATGCCATTCCACGTCTGATCCGCACAGCCTCGCTCTCACACGCGCGTCCTGAAGTCAATGGGGTTTGGGGTAAATGGCTGAAGGTCTGTGGTGAACACCAGCTCAAGACACTTTCAGCTTTTATTCTACGACATAAAATACATCAGTATTACCCCACTCGCGATTATTTGAAGCTGTGACGTGTCTTGAAAAAGGCGGATGCTAACAAGTGGTTAAATGAGACGCCAGACGAGGAGATAAACATCATCAGCTGAACAGCTAAACGCAGTCCGCTTTTACAGCAGCGGTACGCTTACAATCCTGCTCTTATACACTACTATAACTCAAACGTTCTGGGAAAATGTGTCTAGATGAAGACTGAAAGAGTTGGAAGCTCAGTGATGATGACGTAGAAGCCATGTGACCGTGGTGTAGTTCGTTTATAGCCTTCCTTTAGCTTTTTACTTCTGGGAGCTGCATTTGGGCTTCAAAAGTCATAAAAGTTGTGTTCATCTTTGATAATTATCTTGATGGACTGAACCTACAAGAATCATAAACCTTTGTTGATCACAGAGCTTGTTTTTATCGATAATCCTGCCGGTTGGCCTATAAAGTGACGTGTGAGATTGACAGAAACATGAAGACCTTTATTTACCCATGATGATCTTCCTCCTGAAAGAGCTGAACTCTGACCTCTGCTCTTCATTAACACTGAAATCACAGCAAATAAATGAACAATCATGACCTGTACCGATTCAAGAAAACAAAATGAAGCGATAAAACACATTAAATTAGTATAAAGACACTCACAGGTCTTCGTTCACAGAACTGATGAAATCCACTGTCAAAAAAAGCAAGATAATAATTAGCTCATCAATAAAAACTGCACCGATGTAATTAGTTGTTTCACCTGCTAAAATACTTTAATAACGAGGTTACCATCGGATTACTGAAAAATTATGAGATTATGAGTTTAATTACCTTTCAAAATCTCGTGTCCGAAAATCAGTTTGACACCTGGAAACTTCCGTCCGCTTTTCACCTCAGACACTGCAGGAATAAACAAACTTCATCTAACTCTATAATCTGCAGTTATTCACCTCAGACACTGCAGGAATAAACACACTTCAACTGTAGTAACTCTATAATCTGCTGTTATTCACCTCAGACACTGCAGGAATAAACACACTTCAACTGTAGTAACTCTATAATCTGCAGTTATTCACCTCAGACACTGCAGGAATAAACACACTTCAACTGTAGTAACTCTATAATCTGCTGTTATTCACCTCAGACACTGCAGGAATAAACACACTTCAACTGTAGTAACTCTATAATCTGCTGTTATTCACCTCAGACACTGCAGGAATAAACACACTTCAACTGTAGTAACTCTATAATCTGCTGTTATTCACCTCAGACACTGCAGGAATAAACACACTTCAACTGTAGTAACTCTATAATCTGCTGTTATTCACCTCAGACACTGCAGGGATAAACACACTTCAACTGTAGTAACTCTATAATCTGCAGTTATTCACCTCAGACACTGCAGGAATAAACACACTTCAACTGTAGTAACTCTATAATCTGCTGTTATTCACCTCAGACACTGAATAAACACACTTCAACTGTAGTAACTCTATAATCTGCTGTTATTCACCTCAGACACTGCAGGAATAAACACACTTCAACTGTAGTAACTCTATAATCTGCTGTTATTCACCTCAGACACTGCAGGAATAAACACACTTCAACTGTAGTAACTCTATAATCTGCAGTTATTCACCTCAGACACTGCAGGGATAAACACACTTCAACTGTAGTAACTCTATAATCTGCTGTTATTCACCTCAGACACTGCAGGAATAAACACACTTCAACTGTAGTAACTCTATAATCTGCTGTTATTCGCCTCAGACACTGCAGGAATAAACACACTTCAACTGTAGTAACTCTATAATCTGCAGTTATTCACCTCAGACACTGCAGGAATAAACACACTTCAACTGTAGTAACTCTATAATCTGCTGTTATTCACCTCAGACACTGAATAAACACACTTCAACTGTAGTAACTCTATAATCTGCTGTTATTCACCTCAGACACTGCAGGAATAAACACACTTCAACTGTAGTAACTCTATAATCTGCAGTTATTCACCTCAGACACTGAATAAACACACTTCAACTGTAGTAACTCTATAATCTGCAGTTATTCACCTCAGACACTGCAGGAATAAACACACTTCAACTGTAGTAACTCTATAATCTGCAGTTATTCACCTCAGACACTGAATAAACACACTTCAACTGTAGTAACTCTATAATCTGCAGTTATTCACCTCAGACACTGCAGGAATAAACACACTTCAACTGTAGTAACTCTATAATCTGCAGTTATTCACCTCAGACACTGAATAAACACACTTCAACTGTAGTAACTCTATAATCTGCAGTTATTCACCTCAGACACTGCAGGAATAAACACACTTCAACTGTAGTAACTCTATAATCTGCTGTTATTCACCTCAGACACTGCAGGAATAAACACACTTCAACTGTAGTAACTCTATAATCTGCTGTTATTCACCTCAGACACTGAATAAACACACTTCAACTGTAGTAACTCTATAATCTGCTGTTATTCACCTCAGACACTGCAGGAATAAACACACTTCAACTGTAGTAACTCTATAATCTGCTGTTATTCACCTCAGACACTGCAGGATTAAACGCACTTCAACTGTAGTAACTCTATAATCTGCTGTTATTTACCTCAGACACTGCAGGAATAAACACACTTCAACTAACTCTATAATCTGCTGTTATTCACCTCAGACACTGCAGGAATAAACACACTTCAACTGTAGTAACTCTATAATCTGCTGTTATTCACCTCAGACACTGCAGGAATAAACACACTTCAACTAACTCTATAATCTGCAGTTATTCACCTCAGACACTGCAGGAATAAACACACTTCAACTGTAGTAACTCTATAATCTGCTGTTATTTACCTCAGACACTGCAGGAATAAACACACTTCAACTAACTCTATAATCTGCTGTTATTCACCTCAGACACTGCAGGAATAAACACACTTCAACTGTAGTAACTCTATAATCTGCTGTTATTCACCTCAGACACTGCAGGATTAAACGCACTTCAACTGTAGTAACTCTATAATCTGCTGTTATTTACCTCAGACACTGCAGGAATAAACACACTTCAACTAACTCTATAATCTGCTGTTATTCACCTCAGACACTGCAGGAATAAACACACTTCAACTAACTCTATAATCTGCTGTTATTCACCTCAGACACTGCAGGAATAAACACACTTCAACTAACTCTATAATCTGCTGTTATTCACCTCAGACACTGCAGGAATAAACACACTTCAACTGTAGTAACTCTATAATCTGCTGTTATTCACCTCAGACACTGCAGGAATAAACACACTTCAACTAACTCTATAATCTGCTGTTATTCACCTCAGACACTGAATAAACACACTTCAACTGTAGTAACTCTATAATCTATAATAATAATAAACACACTTCAACTGTAGTAACTCTATAAACTGCAGTTATTCGCCTCAGACACTGCAGGGATAAACACACTTTAACTGTAGTAACTCTACAAACTGCAGTTATTAAGAGATGTTGATTGGGCTTTACCGTCCTCTAAAAGCACAGTCTTCTTCGGGTGGACTCGCTGAATAACGCCAGTGATTTCAGTGTCTGATAGAGTTATTTTAACGCGGTTCTTCTTTAATTCATCCAGAAACCTGCACTCATCTGAAGACGAAGCCATGTTGATCACACTGTTCATCAGACACAACTGCTGGTTACTGCGCCTGTCCGGAATGACGAATGTGATTGATTTATTAACATCTGTTCTGAATATTCGACAGCACTGGGCGGGGCTTACATGAATATTCGTGAGTTTCCTGTTTGCGTTAAAGCGACACTGATAATATTAGCGCATGCTCCTCGATCACAGAAACTGTAACGTAATTGCGGTTCAGCGTCGAACGAAGTGAAAATTTGTTTAGGCAAGGCAAGGCAAGGCAAGTTTATTTATATAGCACATTTCATACACAATGGTAATCCAAAGTGCTTTACATAGAAGAAATTAAAATAATCAAAACAAATAAGAATAATTAAAACAGTTTAGAATAAAAAATAAAGTACAGTAAAAACAGTCGGACGAACAGTGGCACAGTGCCATGGGCGTCAGTTTGGTTTGAAATGTGGTGGGGACAGAGACGCATTCGGAAGGGCATTTTCAAAAGTGCTGGGTACAATGACACATTCATTCTTTTTTCTCTTTCGCGCAGGTCATGGTTTGAAAGACGATGTCCTGTAGCTTACTGATTGAAATAAATAAAAATGTATGATGTCCGACCAAAAATGTGATGGTACTTTGGGTTTAATTGGTCGTAAAATGAGATCTAATATAATGTTGTTAGTATCGTGAATTTTTACGTGAATAAATACATAGATCCGCCTGCGTTGCATATGTGGCAGAATTTTTGCCAAGCGTGTCGGAGGTTGAGGGTTCTAGTCCGCACTCGGTATAGTTTTTTCCCCTCATCAAAACCGATAATGTTTATCAGTGGTTGTATATCAAGAATCTTGATATACTTTATCACTGATGAACATTATCGGTTTTGATGAGGGAAAAAAAAACTATACGAGTGCGGATTAGAACCCAGAGAAGCAGGGACACGTTTGTGTGCATTTTGAATTGTGATTTCTCTGGAACGAATAGAATCTCTGCAACGGATTGAAGCGCGCGTCCGAGTGAAGACAACACATTTCAGCGCTAGATCGCGTCTTATTTAACAAATGAATGAAACGAATGCTGCTAGTTAACTGGAGATATTTTATTTGTATTGGTACATCCGTGACGCGAGATGTTTCAAAAGTGGTGGGGACAATATCGACCCTGGCAAAAAGTGGTGGGGACATGTCCCACCCGTCCCCCCGTAAATGACGCCTATGCACAGTGCTCATTCAGTAAATGCATAGCTTAACAGATGTGTTTTGAGTCTGGATTTGAATGTGACTACTGTAGGAGCACATCTGATCTCCTCTGGAAGCTGGTTCCAGCTGCGGCTGGCATAATAGCTAAAAGCAGACTCCCCATGCTTAGAGCGAACCCTTGGTATTTCTAACTGATGTGATCCTAATGATCTGAGTGATCTGTTGGGTTTATATTCAGTGAGCATATCTGCAATATATTGAGGTCCTAGCCCATTAAAAGATTTATATACCAGTAATAATACTTTGAAGTCAATCCTAAATGTAACTGGGAGCCAGTGTAGAGACCTGAGGACTGGTGTGATGTGTTCATATGTTCTGGTTCTGCTCAGCGTTCTGTATGAGCTGCAACTGTCTTATGGTCTTTTTAGGAAGGCCAGTGAGGAGTCCATTACAATAATCCACCCTGCTGGTGATGAAAGCATGCACAAGTTTTTCTAAGTCTTGATTGGAAACAAAGCATCTAATTCTTGCAATATTTTTCAGATGATAGTATGCTGATCTAGTTATTGCTTTGACATGACTACTGAAACTAAGGTCTGACTCTAGAGACACACCAAGATTCCTGACTTGATTTTTAGTTGTTAGACCCCTGCATTCACCTTGAGAACTTCATCTTTGTTTCCAAACGCAATGACTTCAGTTTTGTCTTTGTTTAACTGAAGAAAGTTTTGGCACATCCAACTGTTTACTTCATCAATGCATTGGCACAGGGAGTCAATGGGGCTGTAGTCGTTAGGCGATAGGGCTAAGTAGAGCTGTGTGTGTTTGTGTGTGTGTGTGTCAAGTCAAGTCAAGTCACCTTTATTTATATAGCGCTTTTTACAATACAGATTGTATCAAAGCGCTTCACAGTGATAACATGAAAACAATATAACAAAGTTTGTTTCTAAAAGAAATTGGCAGATCAATAATATTATTGAATATTAAATGTTAAATGTCCCCAACTAAGCAAGCCAAAAGCCAAGGCAACAGTGGCAAGGAACCAAAACTCCATCAGGTGACAGAATGGAGAAAAAAACCTTGGGAGAAACCAGACTCAGTCGGGGGGCCAGTTCTCCTCTGGCCAACGAAGGAACAGTGCATGATTCGGGCAGCATTACAAGTCAGATTGGATCGGAACATTTAGAGTATTTTTTGGAAGTCCAAGTAATCACGCCGGTCTTAAGACGAGTAGTTGAGGATCAGTGCCGTCCACCATAGACAGTCCATATCGCCCGTGTTGAGTCGTCTCTTCACAGGCTTTGTGATTGGAGCATCTGAAGTCTCCGTGAGAGGCTGGATACAAACTGGAGCTGACGAACGCCATTTTCTCGGGACTCGCATCCCGAGATAACAGCAGAAAAGCAAAGGGAAAATAATTAGCGTAGCTGCTGTTCATAATGATGATTTCCATAGCACAGTCGTAAATGATAAAACATGAAGACAGTGACTCTTGCGTCCCAAAATCACCCCCCTCCGTCCCCCACTCAACTCAGCCCAGCTTACTGACCTCTACGTCCCTCCTGCTGCTGAGACCTAACCACAATCTCACAATCTCTCCGCAGCCCAACCATACGCGCCAACCCGTTGACTAAGGCTGTCGAGCCCCACTGGTGCGTGAATAGGCAGTTTCAGTGGACAACGGTTCCGTATGGCATACTACCTACCGCAACACAATATCTGCCCAACCACCCGTCATTCACGCAATACACACAGGAACGTAATGACTGCAAATACTATGCAACCTATACAGATAACCTACAGTCTCTTCAAGTTTTATAGTATTAAATGCATTTGATCGGATTCAGCAGTATTATAAAAGGTAAGCATTATGTAAATGCTTGGCTAAAGAGATGCGTCTTTAATCTAGTTTTAAACTGGGACAGCGAGTCAGAGCCTCGAACAATATCAGGAAGGCTATTCCAGAGTTTAGGAGCTAAATGTGAGAACGCCCTCCCTCCTTTAATGGACTTAGATATCCTAGGAATGACTAGAAGCCTCGAATTTAGTGATCTTAAAGAACGCGATGGATTGTAGGGCGATAGAAGGTCCATTAAATACACAGGAGCTAAACCATTTAGGGCTTTATAGGTCAGTAATAGTACTTTGTAATTGATACGGAACTTGATAGGTAACCAGTGTAGAGATGATAAAATTGGTGTTATATGATCATATTTTCTTGACCTAGTAAGAACTCTAGCGGCTGCATTTTGCACTAACTGTAGCTTGTTTATTGAGGATGCAGGACAACCAGCTAATAAAGCATTACAGTAATCTAGTCTCGAGGTCATGAATGCATGAACTAACTTTTCTGCATCGGAAACAGATAGCATGTTACGTAATTTAGCAATGTTTCTAAGATGGAAAAAGGCTGTTCTTGTAACATATGAAATATGATTTTCAAAAGACAAGTTGCGGTCTAGTATAATACCCAGGTCTTTTACCGTAGAGGATAAAGTAACAGGACATCCTTCTATATTAAAGTTGTATTGTAAGTGGTTTTGTGGATTGTTTTTTGGACCAACAAGTAATACCTCCGTTTTATCTGGATTTAGTAGCAGGAAATTATGCGTCATCCAGCATTTTATATCTTTAAGACACTCTGTCAATTTTGATGAGTTAGTGTTTTCATCTGGCCGTGATGAAATATATAATTGAGTGTCATCAGCATAACAGTGGAAATTAATTCCATGTTTTCTTATAATATTACCAAGTGGCAGCATATATATTGAGAATAGCAGAGGGCCTAACACCGATCCTTGCGGCACTCCATAGTCTACTGACGTTATCTTCGAATTTTCCCCATTTAAACAAACAAAATGGTAACGGTCTGATAAATACGATCTGAACCAGCTTAATGCCTGTCCCTGAACACCAGTGTAGTTTTGTAGTCGATCCAAGAGTATTTTATGATCGATAGTGTCAAACGCAGCACTAAGATCGAGTAGAACTAGTATTGAGATACAGCCTTGGTCAGACGCTAAAAGTAAATCATTTGTAATTTTAACTAGCGCAGTTTCTGTGCTATGATGCGGTCTGAATCCTGACTGAAATTTTTCATATATCTCATTTGCTTGCATGAAAGAGCACAATTGAGCGGACACAGTCTTTTCTAGTATTTTAGACATAAATGAAAGATTTGAAATGGGTCTGTAATTTGCTAAGTTATTTGGATCTAATTGCGGTTTCTTAATGAGAGGTTTTATTACTGCCAGCTTGAATATTTTTGGAACATGACCTAAAGATAAAGACGAGTTGATAATATTAAGAAGAGGCTCTTCCACTACAGGTAACACTTCTTTCAGAAATTTAGTTGGTATTGGATCTAATAAACATGTTGTTGGTTTAGATGCAATGATAAGTTTATTTAGCTCTTCCTGTCCTATAGTTGTAAAGCGGTGTAGTTGTTCTTGAGGGGCGATAGTTGAGGCTGAATCATAAGAGACCATAGAGGATTGTACATTTACAATTGTGTCTCGGATGTTTTCTATTTTCTTATTGAAGTAGTTCATAAAATCATTACTACTATACTGTAACGGAATATTTTGCTCTGGCGATGTCTGTTTATTTGTTAGTCTAGCCACGGTGTTAAATAAAAACCATGGATTATTTTGGTTATTTTCTATTAGTTTGCGGAGATGCTCTGCCCTGGCTGCTTTTAGAGCTTTTTTATAACGTGACATACTGTCTTTCCACGCGATTCTAAAGACCTCTAAATTAGTTTGTTTCCATTTACGCTCTAGGTTACGAGTTTCTCTCTTGATAGCATGCGTAGCACTGTTGTACCATGGTGCTTTAGTTTTCTCTCTAACCTTTTTTAATCTAATTGGTGCAACAATATCTAATGTACTAGAGATAATGGTGCTCAAACTGCTGGTCATTTCCTCTAGTTCATCTGTTTGTTTGGGTTCACTTAGGAGCTGAGATAGATCAG